TATATTTTGTAATTCGAGGAAAAGCGTTAGTCTCAAGGCAGTAGGGTTTCTAGATATCTTCAGCTCTCACATTACCAGAAAAAGGTTGGTTAGTCGTGATTAAAAACCAAAATAATAAAATTAGAACACTAGGAGAAGAAAACTATTTCAAGAGAGAAAAATAAGTAAGTTATTTAATTAGTGATGCATATAGTTTGAAACAATCGAACTGTAAGAGAGGAAGTGGAGATGATGAAATGGTTACCGATAAGCGGTAATCGTATCTAAAGTTAAATTGAGACATCTATCAGGATCAGGTGACCCAAGTAAGCGATGACAATCTATGGATGAGCACGTGTTTGTTAAGAGTTCTCTTTGAATTATCCACCTTGAAGGCTATGATTGCTTTGTCTGGTAGAGGTTGGTAGAACTGTGGTCTACTTCGATATTAGTACTGCTCTAATAATAGAACCGATCCTAAAATCGTAGATTTTTTATGATGTAACTGCCCAGTCTATAAGATCTTGCGTAGAAGTCACATCTTTGTCTATCTTGATTCATCGCGTTTTAACAATAACCAATAAATGATGAACACATTTGGGCTGGAGATAGAACAGTATATTTAATATAGATAAAAATAATGTTACATAAGCAAGATCACATATTGTTTCAGGGTTACAGGAAACATATTGTCGAATCATGGTGTCATTCCAGGGACCGGGAATTCCAGTATTCTTAGTGTTAACCCGGGGGTCAAGTGAATATTTCGCAGATCCTCAGCTGGTGCTAGAGTCCAACAGTGTTCTAAGCTTGCAGTTTCCTGGTTTAGTTGGTCGGTGAAGTTGGCCTATAGTCCTTCCAGAATTACTGCCGATCTCATGCCAGGTTAAAGGGTGAGAGTTGGACATGGGATCGGTAAACCCATCCTGTGGAAAAAAATCTTGCTAAAAACACCAACCAGATTAAACAAACCAAACTATTTAATCCCTTCTCTGGAAGTTAAAGCGAGAATTATGGCGCCTCAAGAAGAAAGCGTAGATCCTACGAAATCAGAAGGCTTATGACACTTCTACCAACAGACGCAACAATTTTTATAGAAACATGGAAAGTTCGGACAATGTGGGATATCGGGGGATCATTCAAATAGCAACGGAAATGAGGAGCAGCACTCGGGACCAGTACTCGAAACCCATTGGACCGAAGCTGGACATCAAAGGTTAGATGAGGCAGAGATGCTTCTGTACTCTATTCACGATGGAGAAAATGCAATACATAATCAGTGAGTTGCTCTGATGCCATCCAAAGAAGCACGTAGAGCACTTGTGGGACGGGAATCTTACAGAACCAGAATCATCAAAGTATCGTTTAAAACAACAGAGGGAATCATGATGAATGCCATCCAGTATTATACAACCACCAATGATAGTAGCAACGACAATAATGATCAGTTCTATGAGTGGCTGCAATCAATCATAGCCAAGTGCCCGAAAAACGACTTCACCATCATGAGGGGAGATATAAACGCCAAAGCCGGAATGGACAACACTAGATATCAAGAGATCATGAAACGACATAGACTGGGGAGAGAAACGAAAGTGGGGAGAGATTTGCAAATCTATACGCATTCAACAAATTAGTTATAAGCAGCACAATATTCCCACACAGACGAACACTCAAAGCTACATATATCTCACTGTACTGCACTACGGAGAACACGATAGATCATATTTGCATCAACAAAAAATTCCGAGGGAAAATGTGGGACATAAGATCCAGGAGAAAAGCTGACATAGATTCAGTTCAACAACTGGTTGTGGCCAAGGTGGAGCTGAAGCTAAAGGACAATTGGACAACTGCGGAAACCACACTACAAAAGTTTAGCACAACCATCCTTCGAGATACTGACAAACAACGAATTCAAGATAACTCTCAGCAAGAGCTTTACATGACCTACTCAAAGCATTGACTTTGACGTGTCAGGTAATGCTGCACACCAACAAGTAACTTTAAAAGGAATGTATCTTAACCGAAACCCATATCACGATTCAAGAAAGGAAGAACGAAAAGACAGCAATTAACAGCAGCCAAACAAGAACAGAGAAAGTCAAGGCACAAGCTGAATAAACAGAAGCAAACAAGCAAGCGAAGAAGAGCATTAGAGCTGACAAGCAGAAATACATCGAAGAACTAGCAATGACAGAGGGAAAAACTGCAAGAGAAGGAAATATGAAACGTTTATATAAAACAATGAAGAGGCTCACAGAGAAATATTGTAAACCAGAGAGATTATTCAAAGACAAAGGAGGCAAGCCAATCACTGAAATTTAAGAACAGCCGGACAATTGCGTAGAGGACTTTGAAGAACTCTTGAACAGACCAGTCTCACTGAACCCACTGGACATTGAAGCAGCACACACAGACATTCCTATAGATATCACTCCACCAACGATGGATGGCTATTAGACAAATGAAGAGTGGGAAAGCAGCAACCTGACTAAACCAGCTGGAGCACTGAAATCAGATGCACTACTATTGGTACTAGGAAAAGCTCTCAACAGTGTTGTTGAGCCAGATGAAAGGTAGACAATTTTTGTCACTTCACAACTTTTTCGCCAGCCAATTATTACATAAATTCCTTTTAATATATGATTCTTAATTCTTGACAATGCACCACGTCAGGTATTTTAAACATTTAGCACCATTCTATATTACTATAAAATACTGTTTTAGCAAATAAAACTATATTGTGCAGCTTAAGTAAGTGAAATCGTCAAAAAGAAAATTTTACTCGCTGAATTGTCTTCTTTGTTCTTCAATGGCACAATGTGTCTCTTTCGTTATTGTTAAAAGTTGTTTTCAGTCAATAAATCATCATACTTTTCTTTCGAAAGTGGGTTAAAAATATTTCTTAATGTTTAAAAGAGATCACTGTCTATTCTATACGCAACACAGAACCATTTCTAACTGACACAAGAAAAAACGAAATAATACTAACTATTCCATTTATTTTTGTGATGGAAATTGAGGAACAGTGTATCTGTCTGCATCACACAATCACAGAAAGTCAGATATTATTGCAACGGTTCAACATATTATTTTGAACCAGGAAGATGAAATCAGTCAGTAAGTCATAATCACTGCAAAGCCTGGAGCAAATATTCACCAACATAAGTTGCCACACAGTGTCAGCATAACGACAAAAATGGAGACAGAATTTAAAGGTGGATGTGAAGAAATAATGGAACTAAAGACCTAAAGAAGGATAAAGAGGGGATGTACCTGGAAAATGGTAAACGACTCCAATCCATGCTACCCAATGTCTTCAACCATTGCTCGTAACAAGAGTAAGTTCGTGAGTAATGGCGTGTACCTGGTCATGCAGAAATATATTATTATTTAGTGTATTTTAGCTTCAAGATCGATCTGTAAAAGCGTACTATAGCCACGAACTTTGAAGTTTTTTCTCCCTTAATTTTAAGCTGCCGTCAAAATCCTTTACCGATACTTTCGAGCCGTATTTAGGTTCTCCTATTGTTTGTTGTAAGCGTTCTGTGTTTTTCTTGAGTCAGAATCTTGTTTTCGGAAGTTTGCTTTGCATGAGGTACATTGTGTAAGATCGCATTCCGAATTGTATCCCACACTATCTCCCGGCGGTTATCCATCGTAAGCCTCTACTACTCTGTTGGTCATGGAGATTGTTGAAAGTGGTCCGTTATTATGGTGAAATCTTCCCTAGAGTAGCTGGATTAGGGAGCATTTACGTTTTCGATCACTCTGAATATAATCGTCCTTGTCCACTACTCCGAATTGGTGATTTTACATGGACATTGACAGAAGTTGACCATGGGTTATCAAATTGTTCAGTTCCTAACCCTATATTATCATGTCGCCCATATGTTCAGTCAATCCTGAACTATTAAAGGGCATGATAAGTCGCTAATGAAACCGCCTTATAGATGTGGAAACTTGCTTTCTGGTCGAACCCCAGATGTAGTGTTTACTATAGAACTTGGATTATCTTATATTTCGAGATGTTAAAAAACACCAATACGACCATATCATACTCGGTCGTTCGTTTTTAGGGCTTTGAAGTGGCTATTATTGTTTACTTAAATTCCTGGTCTTATTTTATTTACTCCCTCACATAGGAAAAGTGTCATATGTTGCATGCTAAGTTGTCGTCCATGACATCGGCGGGTAGCTAAGCCTCAGCTGAAATCGTAGTCGTCAAATTTAATTGAGAGTACATGTTTCCTATTTCTCTTGAATTACTCCTTTTTTCCTTGACGTTGCAATGTAGGAAATTATGTGTGTTTGAAAAAGAGAACTTTGGGCTTAAAATGATCTGTTCCACGATCGGAATAAAAAACTGTTCAATCACTAGTCTTGTTTCTTGTATGGGCAAAACGAGGGATATCTACCTGCACAAAACCTCTACAGGATTACATGCATTCAAGGTTACAAAAAGATCATTCTTTAAAGTGGGCTGGGAAGTTGTTCAGGAACTTCACGTCCCCGTTTTCTGCTAGTACAGCGTGCCTCATTAGCGGCGTCTCAGCCTCAGTGTTCTACATCCTGGCATGCTGACCAAAGTCAGCCGACAGTAACGTGTGCTCCATTCGGCATTTTAAAGTTGTCTTCACGATCAAAGTCGGGTCCCACAACATCTGATGTGTCTAGGAATGTCACTCCTAGGGTTGTACCAGCAGGTTTCAAGTCTTCTTTTTCATTCGGAAACCCCAAAATACGTAAAATGCCTAATTTTCAGGTTTTCTAGTTCCATGAAGGCATTCATAGGATAGAAAAATGACTGACTGAGAGATCAGAATGTTTTTTTGGATAGGATTTTGTCGACCATTCAAGGTCGTCCGTGAGTACTTTTCCAAAAAAGCTTCAACACATGCTTCAGTTCTCCTCCAATAGATTGTATCGTCCTTTTGGAATTAGGACTGTCTTCGTTTATACCCGTTAGAGGCTGTTACATACGTAGATACTTTTTAATTCGGTTATATCTCAATTCAATGGTCCTGAAGCCTTATGATAAAAGTGAAGTCGATAATGAACGATTATTATCAGTTGCGTCCTGTATAATTAGAGGTAAGTCTATAAGAGGAGCATAAAACTGGAAACCATACATTTGTAATGGATATTGTGAGCGATTTTATCTGTTTGATGCATATCATTGGATTATTTTTGTAAAGTAAGTAGGTTAATCTACTTATGTGATTTCGTCGTTCAGTTACTATATTTATCCACGTTTATTTAACTATAAGTCATACTAATACTTGTCGGAATGATAATCCATTTTTAAGTAATTTTCTTTGGTAAATCCATTCACTGGCATGATACGATCACCAATAATGTCAAGCATATACCTTATGATCAATGGTTTAGTACATTGTTCAGTCGCTTGTAGGCCCCAGATTAAACATCAGTAAATATCAATAATTGGTGTACGGTACTTGAGTGGGAACTCATGTATCTTTTGTCAAGTCTTAACTCGTCTTTATACGTCGTTTTCCTAACAAATAACGTGTATAAAGAAGTTTAGACTTGTACTTATTCCTTTATGGGATTATTCTTTTTCAGTATCTCAATGCAAAGACATTGGAGAAAATTGATCACTGTAATTAGCCAGCATTTCTGAAAGATTGCCTATTAACTTTAATGTGGTTATGGGCTCACTTAAACTTTAATTAGATATGAAAGTACCTAAGTAACTATGTGGTCCCGGAATCAGTCAGTCAGCTACAACATATGACCAGGCACATACGCGTGTTAGTCCAATTTGCCACACTTCATTAGCACAACAAGATGAACACCAAATTCATAGTAGTTACTTCAATGGTAGTAATATGTAAAAGAGTGTGAGTATAAGGATATAAAACAGGAAGGAAGAATTAGCTCGTAGAAAGAAAGGTATAAAGTAATTCTAGCCTCACGGTTTGGGGCAAGACAAAGAGTGTATACACCGACGCCATTGTGACCGATTCTGAGCCATGTCACCCACAGTCTCCAACCATTGGTTACGATATTCACGTGAACCCCAACAAAGTAGTCTGCATCTATCAACATGGTCTAGAATAGCTTAGAATCTTTAGTTAAGTACCAAATGACATCATCGTCAGTGAAGATATATGGGTGTTTTATAATTCGAATTTACTAGCTTGATATATTTTGAAGTTGTGTTATATTGGTAGGCCATTACCATATATGTATTCAGTCATATAAATACGTAGAACATAATTGCATGCTGTTCTGTAAGTTCACTCTGCACCAGCTACATAGGTGTGATAAATTATTTCAGTTTGAATTTTTGTAACAGGATTTTTAACAGTGCTCAACGTTAATGTGTAGAACCGATGATAAATAGGGAACATTTCATGATTACAAAAATTAAGATGCAGCTTTCATGATGAAGTGTTGAGAGTGGTAATTGTAAATTAGGTAACCACACGCTTGTCCGTATTAGAACAAGGTATTAATGTACGGTCGATTAGTAAGATTTCCTCTCATGTATTTTAAAAATTTTCAATACATCGTAAGTTTCTCATTTCCGATTCTTGAAGAGTACTATATTTGCCTATCGGTATATCGAAAGCGTTTTGTCTGGTTGTTAAGCATACCTTGAAGTTAAAGACCGAATTTATCCTGCCGTGTTATTCACAAACTATTATTCTATTGACGGGGACGCAATCATTATTGCCTCCCAGTGTCAACTGTGTTATTCGATACTTCTTATATTTACATTATTACATGATTTTCCTTCTCTATTTTGCGCCAAAGACTGACATGTCATTTTATATAGTCCAGTTCTAGCTACATCATTACTTCAAGCGTAATTTGTGAAAAAATCAATAAATATACAAAATTTAATTAGGTGAATAAAATGTACAGACAAATAGCTTTCAAGCTAACTATAAATAAAGAGTACTTGGGTTCTGATCGTAAACAATTGTCGTATAGAGAACCCAATATCAATATTATGACAATAAATAACACCGTTTAGGATGGATTTGAAGTGTCAAAAATGCCATGAATAACCTTCCATTTTGACAGGTCTTTGAATACGTAGTGTGACGAATAAATTTATTGTTTAACAGTCGTAGTTGACAAAGTCTACAATTTCTTTCAGACGTTTTATAAAATCTTTTAAAGTAGGTAAACCCTACTTCAAAGTTTTAACCCTGAACCTTTATCTGCGGCTCTCGTACAGTGGTTGTCCAGACAACCATAGTGTTCTTATGTTGTGATTATTTCAGAATATTGATTGACGGTCAACTTAGTGTTACGTATGTTGATAAAATTAACGCTGATCATCTGCTAAGCTAGAAATATTTTTCTTTAATGCTGCTCTAATTTTATTGATTTGATTTGTACATTCTATTCTGTTTTTATTTTAATTAACTCACTCACAAGATACTTGGATGCAGGCCACAAACTGTACTGGCTAATAATACGGCCCGTTGCAAGTACTCTTTATTTATAGTTAGCTTGAAAGCTATTTGTCTGTACATTTTATTCACCTAATTAAATTTTGTATATTTATTGATTTTTTCACAAATTACGCTTGAAGTAATGATGTAGCTAGAACTGGACTATATAAAATGACATGTCAGTCTTTGGCGCAAAATAGAGAAGGAAAATCATGTAATAATGTAAATATAAGAAGTATCGAATAACACAGTTGACACTGGAGGCAATAATGATTGCGTCCCCGTCAATAGAATAATAGTTTGTGAATAACACGGCAGGATAAATTCGGTCTTTAACTTCAAGGTATGCTTAACAACCAGACAAAACGCTTTCGATATACCGATAGGCAAATATAGTACTCTTCAAGAATCGGAAATGAGAAACTTACGATGTATTGAAAATTTTTAAAATACATGAGAGGAAATCTTACTAATCGACCGTACATTAATACCTTGTTCTAATACGGACAAGCGTCCGGATTTTCTGGTTTGTGTCAGTGTTCCTTGCCAAACAGTGAATTTTGTAGTGGTTTCGTTTAGGCGTGCTCGACTGTCGAGTGCTCAAAATTTCGGTGTTATTTTAGTAATGTCAACAGATGTAGTCTATTTGTTACATTTAGATGAACTATCGCCAGATGATAGGTGTTTTCCGGATAACTATTTTCCGGATCATTCTTAATCACAAGAGGTCTTACAGTTGATACTAAAGTTTTTTTCACCTATGTTCTATTTGATCATGCTGGAACAACTGGCGATTCCATCCGCTGAATACTGTATTTTTAAGACAATCAACTCACTATTGTACATTAGGGATTCATTTGATTGAATATTATGGCAGATTTAACTTGTCCTACTGTAATTGATGCACATATCAAAATTGATTTCGTTCGTGTTTTAGAATCCCATTTAAAATATGTCACACTGCTTAACAAGTAGGTAAGATGGAAAACTTGAGAGAAGTCAGTTATGTAAATTACAACAGACGGGAGAATTAGGCTAGCCATCAGACTTGTCGTGGGAATGATTGGGACCGGTTATTATTTATTTGTTTATTTGAACACGTAAATATTAGTGCAAAGGAGCACCGAATACATAGGCGCCACACAAATCACTTGACTTGTGTGTGAGCTGTGATACTGCAGGGTGCCCAGACCGAAGCAGGTGGTTTTCTTAAGGGGTCACACTCCAAGCCTTCGACCTAAAGGTCTGATCCATAAGGCAGTGAAGCAACGTCAGGAGATGCAGTCACATGGTAGTCGGTGGCCAATAATTGGTTCATACGCCATTTGTTCCCTTAGGATCCTGAAGCCGATTTGAACCATTGGTTTGGAATCAGGGTTTTCCAACTCCTTTAGGTGAACCCTCTTTATCCATTAACTCGGTTTATTTTCTGGACATTCGCTTCTCATCCTCCCAATTTCGTAAACAACATCCTCGTCGCGAGAAGGCAGTGAGTAGGACTTACCTGGCAGTTGTTGTGTGCACATGGCAATGTGAGAGCATTTCGAGATGAAGAGCTGACTCGCCTCATCTTCGGCCGTACCAGCGCACTTGGGAAATTGTTATAAATACGAAAGTAATTAGCGAAAGCATTGAATTGATGGCCTAGTAAACGCCACTGTGAATACGTAAGAAACTTTAGGTAAAGTACTTTTATTTAAAGAACACAATACAACTAATGTTATTAAGTGCGAGAAAACAATGCAACTCAGTGCACTTAAAATACTTTTGTTTGCGTTTATATCCAGTAAGGGATAAACTGTTATCGTTTAGTATTTGTTTAATATTTAAATTTAAAGATTACAGAAACGAGCGCTCTTTATCAATCTCCAGAACACATATATTTTCACAGGAGTATACTTTTTCACTATTATGTTTTTAAGCACCACTTAACAACTCATAGAAATATGTGTTCGGTTGAAAAAATATAGCTTACTTTCGATCGTTTTTAAATAATATTTACTTCATAAACGGTTAAGTTTAGACGAGTAATCTTTGCGGTTGTCTCGTGTTTAGAACATGAAACTGTTATTAATGGATTTTTGCTTCACGTTATGGTAGGTAATCATGCAATCATCAAATTTTAAATTTGATTAACATTGTGAATGGTGATTGTTTGATTGTGGCAATAAAAGAATTGCATTTTGTTTCAAAATTTTGTTCGTGTTAAACTTTTTAACACAATAATTAGACGCTATTATGAACCTCTACGTTAGTCAGAGTCTGTTGAATTAGAAACGTCATACACAGTTCGGTCATATTAACAGAATACCTTAACTACTAACGCCTGTCTTTGAAGAGTTCACATAGGGTGTTATTTAACTATTATCATTTTCTTAACTTGTTTGCCTCAAATGAGGCCCAATAATATACACAACCTTATATATCTTTATACGTAAATAAAGTTTCTAAACGTCGAGGATAGAAAACTCAAACATATATATATATATATATATATATATATATATATATATATATATATATCCCTTACTGAAGCAAAATGAATCAGGCGTTTGTAATGCTTCGAATTCCGAACGCGTTTTCTTACTTTTATATGTCATTCGATTTCCAGCCGTCATATCTCTTTATTTTTCCTTTTACGTACTTCTTAAAATGGCGTCGACATTTTTGATGAGTCGATGACCAGAGTTCTATTTTTCTTTACTCCTGTAATATGTGTTGATATTTTAGAGTGATTGGCAGACAATCTGAGCTTTATGATAGGTAGTGAGTTGCTTACTATGTATAGGAAATATATCGGATACCTCTGTTACTACATTTCTGATGACAATGAAACATATGAAGGCAGCAAACCACAAATGAGGTCACCAGAACAAACTGATCCGAGTCGTGGAATAGTTTAAAGCTCATATCAGTATGAAATAGAATCTGATGAAGTTTTGGAAAAAGACAATAAACGCTTCGCAACTAAATCATTTTTCTTAGTGAACTTGATAATGCTAAAATCTTGCAAATTTCATGCGCGACTTAGGTTGACAAACGATAGTCCAGCCTTCTATGTCCTTGCCAAAATCTTAGGGATGATCAGGTTACCGCTAGTTATTGAATCCAACATTTAGAAAAAGTTTGGGTTCACAGCAAACTAAACATTCTGTTTTATTAAAAATATGCTAAATAAACAAAATTTCCTCAAATAATTCTACTTACAGGATGTTAAAGCTTTTATGTCTTTTTAGCTTCTTTGTTTACCATTTTAATCAGCCGTAAAGGAAATACGAGCAAGCAACATTTTTTGTTTCTTAACAGAACCAATGGTTTGGATTGGTCTTCTTTTAAAGTCTTCCAGATAAAGGTTCTGACATTGTTATGATGAAGATAAATACTTATATTTCAAAGGTATCCTATTTTCTCTCGGATACCTGCAAACGTTTTTGTATCGCTTTAAGTTGTCACATCATCAGTTAGAATTAATAATCTGATGTTTAGTTTACATCATCTCCAAAAATTTGTTTTCTGTTATGTTTCTGTTTCTTTTAGATCGTCTTTATTTCCTATCTTGCAAAACTCCACCAAGAAGTAATTCTTCCATTCACTTCTTTTCCATTGATGAAGAATTATGCTATGAAAAGTATGTTGTCGTTTAAGTTAATCATATTACTATTATCACATTATTATTATTATTATCCATTTTTGTCAGTTTTTATGCAGATTTCGGTCCACTGAGTCTTGGTCAACTATACAAATACTGTAATAAACTGAACAAAAAGCTCAAGGTAACAATTATTGAAAAGCTTTCATTATTCTTGTCTTTTCTTTATGTTAGTCTGGTAGTTTAAAAGAAAAGAAAATTGCACACTTTACATCACATGACTCACGTAAACGAGCGAATGCTGCATTTCTCATTGGAAGTTATCAGGTACACATTGAAATTCAAAATATATATATATATATATTTGTATATAACTTACTAGATCATATATTTGGGACGCACACCAGAAGAAGCGTATAAAAATTTGACTTTAAATGATAATCGACCATTTCTCCCTTTTCGGTAAGTTTATAAAAGAGGTGGATTTTGCACAGTATGATGGGTACTGCGGATATATATATATATATATATATATATATATATATATATATATATATATATATATATATATATATATATATGCAAACTTAGGACTAAGTATTACGGTTAGAAAATTGAAGTTACAGATAGGAATTAAGGTTGATATGTAGGGTTAGAGTTAGAACGGTGGAATACATTGTAGCCATGTAGATTCATGCTTCTAAAAATAGTTTTTGAATCCAGTCGAGAAATATGCATTTATATTTGTTTGTGTACATAGCTGTAAAGTTTATCAACATCAAGTAACACATAGACATACCAAATTACAGAAGTTTTACGAGTTATCGGTATTTAACAGATGGGTCAATTCAGTAAGATTAACGTGAATTCGTGTGCTGTTACTGCCCGATGTGCAATGTTTTATGGTGTAGAAGTAGGTTGGGAGAAAGCTAGGGACGGCCAGACCGAAATATGGCACAAATCCATGAAGTCACTGACAAGTAGACTGAACCATGTTGGTAGGTGTAGACTACCTGGTTGGGATCCGTGAGATGATAGCAACCGATGGTTACAGAACTTGAATGACATGGTTCAAAATTGTTTGCAATGGCACAGGTGCATCCACTCTCTGTGTTCTCCCAAATTCTAATCTCCTGAATCATTCATGTCCCTTTTTTCCTCTTTCCAAATTTATTTCACTGGATTATACTCCTTGAGTATCATCTTTAAACATTAATGTTTTCGATTACTGCTTATACTCTTACTACCTCTACCACTATGGGATTTGAATAGAAAATTGTATCACTGTGCTAATGTGGTATGGCAACTCGGACTGATGTACATACGTACAAAGTTACACATTGTTACTGACTGACTGAACGTGAATTCGTCATTTAATGATTGAAAGTTAATAATTCAGAACAATAAGCACTGCACCTAAAATGAATTTTAACTAAACTTCTAAAACACTTGTGAGGTTTGTGATCATTAGGATAACTTAGAGGGAACATTCATGATTTGTAGTGCTTACATTTTATACGGTCAGTTCGTTGACTATAAAATAGTTCTTTCGTGTTGTCGAGGCTTGTACACTTAGACTTGTTAACTAATCTTAACATTACACTGTTTTGTTTATGGCTTTTTGTTTGATAAAAAGATGCTTATTTTCTTACTACTAAGTCAGTTGAACGTAGAGAGATGATCAGATTGATATCTAGTTAGGAATTAAGCGTGACATTTTATTTAGTTGAATGTTGAATATTTAGTTCAGAAACTGATGACTTAAGATCAATAACCGAGTATATTTTATCTTCATACATTAATTAATCAATTACATTCAAATGATCTCTGATTAAACACTTGAGTACTGAATACAGGCATCGATTTAAATTCTCAGGGTAATTTTGATAAATAATAAATGCTAAAAATCGAGAAAAAAACGATAATAAACTGGAAGTTCTTTCTGAATTGAGATTAATTTTTTCTAAAAAAAATAGTTTTTTACAGACTCATTTCTTTAAATTAGATGTCATTTAGACTTTTGAAACATGGTATGCAGCTAACGTCTTAAATGTTTCTCCTTGAAAATTTTACCGTATATTTCACATAAGATACATGACTAAGACGTATGATATTAATAAGAATTTTTTGTTGTTGAAAAAACTGTATTATATATGTCATTTATCAAATATAAAGTTGTAGATTGTCATAAAGAAAGATGATCAGTCAGAAAAAATTATCACAACCGGGTATACTAATATTGAAAAATGAAAAATTGACTTAGTTTCACTTCAAACTGGTGTTACCGTCATATGAACAGCTAAAAAAATAAGTGCATTTGTTAAAAAAGTACAAAATTACCTGGTGATTATTATTGTACTAGCATCGCACACATCTATATATATATATATATATATATATATATATATATATATATATATATATATATATATATATATATATAACTCTAGCTGTGAAATATGGTCTATGAAACTAAAAGTCATGGTTAGGACATATAGTTTTCATAGTAGGTGTCTTCGAACATATCGCTCGCGTATCGTTAAATGTTGATGTTAAACTCGGTATTGCACAGTGTTGGGAAATCGGTTGGTTAGGTTGTATGTCTTTATCGATTGAGGTGGTTAAAACATGCTTTACGTATGCCTAACCACCCCTACCTCAACATGATGTGTTTGTTGGTGTACGAGCAAATTGAAAGAAAGCCCACAGCGACCAAACAAGTACTTTTCATCAGTCTTTGGAGTCACCAACTATTGGTCTTGGTCATGTTGGTAGTACAAAATATCTGGTTAAGGTCCATGTGGTAATCACTACGAGTAATGGTTGAAGACATTGGGTAGCATGGATTGGAGTCGTTTACCATTTTCCAGGTACATCCCCTCTTTATCCTTCTTTAGGTCTTTAGTTCCATTATTTCTTCACATCCACCTTTAAATTCTGTCTCCATTTTTGTCGTTATGCTGACACTGTGTGGCAACTTTGTTGGGATAGTCGGAAAAAGAGACCAATAATTACCATGTTAAGTTCAATGGTGTCCTTGAACCTTAAATGTACATTTCTTATTGGTCGATGTTTATTTCACTTGTTAAATATTTTGTAAATGTTGTTCTCCATTTTATGGTACGATGTGGTGTGCTTGATTGGTATATAAACAAAGTATACAACGATTCATAACTCAGAGGCTGTGACTTGCGTTCTTGACTCAACTGGCTGGGACAGACAGCGAAGCGGGACCAATCAGGGCACTAGGTCGTTCATACGTGTTTTCCGTGTCTACTGTAATCGATCGATATAAACGCTGTCTAGCATAACCTGCAGTCCCACACTCGCGTTACAACAAACTTATGTTGGTGAATATTTGCTCCAGGCTTTGCAGTGATTATGACTTACTGACTGATTTCATCTTCCTGGTTCAAAATAATATGTTGAACCATTGCAATAATATCTGACTTTCTGTGATTGTGTGATGCAGACAGATACACTGTTCCTCAATTTCCATCACAAAAATAAATGGAATAGTTAGTATTATTTCGTTTTTTCTTGTGTCAGTTAGAAATGGTTCTGTGTTGCGTATAGAATAGACAGTGATCTCTTTTAAACATTAAGAAATATTTTTTAACCCACTTTCGAAAGAAAAGTATGATGATTTATTGACTGAAAACAACTTTTAACAATAACGAAAGAGACACATTGTGCCATTGAAGAACAAAGAAGACAATTCAGCGAGTAAAATTTCCTTTTTGACGATTTCACTTACTTAAGCTGCACAATATAGTTTTATTTGCTAAAACAGTATTTTATAGTAATATAGAATGGTGCTAAATGTTTAAAATACCTGACGTGGTGCATTGTCAAGAATTAAGAATCATATATTAAAAGGAATTTATGTAATAATTGGCTGGCGAAAAAGTTGTGAAGTGACAAAAATTGTCTACTTGGTAGCTATTAAGGATAGAATAATTAAGAGTTGTACTTACTAATTTACGCCTGTTACCCCTCATGGAGGTGCACAGGCTGCATACCAGAATTCTCTATCTTACTCTGTCCTGGGAAATACTTTCCAGTTGCTATTCATCCTTCGGATGTCTGATTCCAGTTCGCAGCCCAATATGTTCTCTACTCTTCAGCTTTTTCGTTTCCCTTTAGGATTCCAAGTTAGGGCTTGCCTCGTGATGCAGTTTGATGATTTCCGCAGTGCATTACCTATCCGCTACACGTGTGTTTACCTGATTTCCACTTTAGCTGAATGCTGGTTTGCTCTCTCTCTCTCTCACACACAGTGGCTGTTGCTGATGGCATCCGGCCAACGAACATTGAGTATCTTGCGTAGACAATTGTTTACAAATACTTGTACTTTTTTGATAATGGCTGTAGTGTTTCTCCAAGTTTCAGCTCCGTACAGTTCAGTCAGTCAGTCAGTAACAACGTAGAACTTCGTACGTACGTACATCAGTTCGAGTTGCCACACCACATTAGCACAGAGATGCAGTTGTCGATTCAAATCCCGTAGTGGTAGAGGTAATAAGAGTATAAGCAGTAATCGGGAAGATTAGGGTTTGGAGATGTTATTTAAAGAGTATAATCCAGTGAAATAAATTTGGAAAGAGGAAAAAAGGGACATGAAGAATTCAGGAGATTAGAATTTGGGAGAACACAGAGTGGATGCACCTGTGCCATTGCAAACGATTTTGAGCCATGTCATTCAGGGTCTCTAACCATCGTTTGCTATCATCTCGCGGTCCCCAACCAGGTAGTCTACACCTACCAACATGACTCAGTTCACTTGTCAATGACTTCATGGACTTGTGCCATGTTTTGGTTTGGCTGCCACTAGCTTTCTTCCAACCTACTCCTATACCACTGAACATAGCACGTCTTTCCGTACAGTTGAACTATCTTGACGTTCATATAGAAGATTCTGACTTTTCTGTTGGCTGCCAATTGTTTCGAGTTACATATGTTCTTCAACTGTAGGAATTCTGCTCTTGTTTCGTCAATCCTCTCATTTACTTCTGTATCAGATCCTCCTTGTTTACCAATGATACTGCCCAGGAACACGAACGTCTCCACCTCTTCCAGAGCTTCTCCATCAAGTGTGACTAGGTTGGTGTTCTCCGTGTTGTATTTGGGGATCTTGGTTTTTTCCCTTATGTATGTTAAGGTTTAAGGATTCAGAGGCTGCTGCTATACTAGTTGTCTTCATCTGCATTTGTTGGTGTGTATGGGATAGAAGAGCTAGGTCATCTGCAAAGAACAAATCATGTAGCCGCATCCAAGCTCTCCATTGTATTCCGTGCTTTCCCTGAGATGTGAAGGTCTTCATAATCCAGCCGACCACCAGATGAAAAAAAAAGAGAGAGTGAGCAGCCTTGTCTAACACCGATCTTCACTTGGAATGAGTCTGTCAGCTGTCCTCCATGCACGACTTTGCAGTGTAGTCCGTCGTATGAATTTCGCATGAT